GCATGGTTAGTTTAAATCTTTGTTTATGATGTTTCTAATATCATTCATGCCAGAAAGCAAGAAATACAAAGCATAAAACAGAATAATCCCATTTGCCTCCTGAACGTCAGATTCCAACACTCTGTCCTTTCTTCTGTTACAGTACATCATCTAAATCATACTATTTATTTGCTGTAAAACAATAGCAGGAAAAAACTAGATCACTCACTGCTTATCCTGTGTCGCACTGATCATCCTCATTTTTCTTTTTTCTTCTAAATGTCACCAAGCAGAAAAAGGAATGCCATTCCATTCCAACAACTGCTTTGCTCAACTGTTTCTCCTAGTTTATTCAAATAGGTATATTGCACACTTAAGGGATAATACATCAGCAAAATATGCCATAGTCATCTTTTTGATTCAATGACATTGAAGTTTGCTAGATACAAAGACTGGGGAATGGGGAAGTTAATACAGATAAAGCAATCAGGTTGCCTGTAAGGAACGAGCATGCCCTACATTATGCAGTGAAACTTGAAAATTAAAATATATTCATATTTACAAACCAGCACAGAAAACGTAGAACAAAATATTAGAGGAACTCATGTCATTCAGCAACCGCTGAAACTTTGTGCTCTCTCATCTTAAAAATCAAGAATCTTTTCTTGCTCCGCTTTGCTGGGTTCAGAGCCTTAGTCTGACCATAAATGGTGACGTTATACTGTCTGATGTTATACCTCAAAATCAGCAGGTTCGTGCAGCCCATCCTGACTTGAATGGAATAAAAAAGGGTAAACATTTTGACTCATGGAAATACAGACCAGTTAGCTAGGCACTGATTCCCGCATAAAATAATGTCGATCAATACTCCAGTCTTGGCCATTCATTAAATTGTATTAACAATTGCATGGTCTGTTATATGGTTATCTGCAGTTGCAGGAGGGAGCATTGGAGAGTCCAAGTCCCTTCCAGACCTACATCACCTTCTTCCTTGAAAGACAGCAGCATCAGGGCGCTGCGCGGGCCGGCAGCTCCCCGCGGGGCAGGGCTGGGCCTCCCTGCCAGGGCCCCTGAGGGAGCAGGGCAGCAGGGGACAGCCCGGGCCCCAGCATCGGGCACCGCCACGGGGATGGGTCAAGGTCATTATGGCCATGGAGGGGCTGGAGCCCGGCACCGCTGCAGCATCCCAGGGCAGGAACTGACGCCCCAGCTGGGTGGAGATGGGGCCTGGGGCCAGGCTTGGGCAGGGAAGGGGATCAAGGCCAGCTGAGGCTAGGCAGGGCAATTCAGGCCTATTAGTGTACTCAGGGCCCTGACAGGTAGAAACAAGCATCTTAATTTTTTTAAAATAACTAAACATCCAGTTTATAAAAGTAATTGCACTTTTGCGGTACAATCTGGATTTCTCCAAGCCATTGGTTTAGTGCCACAAGACATTATGATTAAAAACACCTGATTTATATGGAAACAACAGGACCAAAAACTGGCTCACTGACATTTCAAAATGTAATTGTCAGTGGCAAGGTATCAATAATTGATCTGTTTCTAGGAGCATCCTTGAGGATGCTGATTCTTAATCCAAAGACATTTTGTGTTAGTAGTCTAGATGGTTATAGAGTCTTCAGTGATAATGTTTAGAGAGGATAGAAAGATGAGTGAGGTAGTAAGCGAGGAAGACTATTGCTACAGACTCATCTGAATCGCATTTTAAAATCCAATACATCTATGCAAATACAAGCAAACACTTATAGGTGTAAGGAATATGTAGACCATGGCTTTCTCTCTTGGCTCAGAGAAAGACTTGGCAGAATTATTGCTTCAGCAAAGCACAGACAATGCTGTACCAAAAAAGAGTTTATAGAACCTAACATATAAAAAAGTATGTATCAAGTAAAAACAGATCTCTCTGCACACATTGGTGAAGAAACACTACCAAAAAACTGCATCCACTTCTGATATTTACACAAGAAGGAAAGTGGAAATATTAGTGAAAGTTCAAAGAGTACCAAAAATGATCCAGGGAGTAGAAAACAAGCCTTACAATGCAGAACTTACTTACACATTCACATTATTCAGGTTCTGAAAGAAAAACCTGACAAGAGGCTTGACTACGCTGAATAGGTACTTACATACAGAAGAGAGATCTTGATAGTATGACCTTTTCAACCTTACTGATAAAGACAGAATGATATCCATTAGTTGGAAATTGTAGCTAGACAAACCTATGTTGACATTTCCTGACTCTGAGGGCAATTAAATATTTACATAGTTTATATCAGGAGAGACAGCGGGTACACCTTTGCTTGGGGTTTAAAAATGAGATTAGATATCCTTTTTAAATATACATTTTAATTCAGCTGTTGAAGAAATCCAGTTGTGCATGGACAGGCAGCAAGATTTTGCTTACCCTCAGACAACCTCACAACCCAAGATGCCACGTCAGTAAGCAGCGCTGTCTGCTTGCAGACACCATCCAGAAAGTAAGACCAATTGTCTCCACTGACCATAGGGATTTTGCCCGTGTTTAGTCAGTGGTTACTGAAACACTTCGTTGGGCTCCACAAAGAGAATTGAACAAGCAGCGCTGGTTGTTCTGAATATGGATGTCTAATGATTGTCAGGTTTAGGTTCACTTTATGTCATCCACTGCTACAGTTTGGACTCATCACCTTACACGCCTTTAAGCACTAGGAATGGTCCTCAGTTTATACATTTCCTATTTCTTTGGAAAGGTAGTTTTTATCTACACTGCTGATCTTTGTAACAGTGTAACCGGTAACATGTTTTCAAAAGCACAACGGGGAAGAAAATCACCTTGACCATCAAGAAAATAATGTATGATGATATTAAAAAGGTAAACCATGCAACATGAAATTCCAACCATTTAATTTATTAATTGTATATAAGATACTTGCTAAGTTGTTTTTTTTTTTTTTTAAATGCACATTTCTAGGAAGACTATAAAATATGATAGGAAGCAAGATTCTTATAGGTAACAGCACAAAAGGTTCTACAGAGGCCAGTTCTTTAGCCTAAGATAAATTTCCTTTGTGTTGCTAAGGGGGATTTCATGTTGGCCCACCAGAGGAGTCCCGATGACTAGGAAGCCACCTACTCTTTTTCTGGGTGCCAGTCTAGGGTGGACCACACCAAGACACAACTTTGGCATCGCTCGGACTGCTCCCTGTGGCTGCTGTAGGTTTTCACAGGCTCTCTCCAGCCTGGTTCCAAAGCAGCTTTTGAATTGCAAGAGACATATGCACAAGCTAGACCCCAGTCTGCTTCTTTATCCTTAGCTCAGTTTAAAATTGGAACTCAAAGATTCACGATAAACTCAGGAAGGACCAACTTCATAAATATTATGACTGAGAAATACTTTCTACTTCATTGTACAAAATACCAAGAAACACAAGACATACATTTTCATGAGTTAAAAAAAAAAAAAAAGAAAAAACACAAAAGACTTCCCACTAAAAATGTAAAAGAAAATGTCTGTCATTGTGAGAGTAAAAAGACTACAGAAACAGTACTTGTGTCTGGTAGTCTGCCAATGAATCAGAAATGGCTGCTAAAAAGGCATTCATTGTGCAGAGTCTCCTCACTCTTGAAAAAACTCCTTTATTCGCAGAAACAAGATTCTGCTCTCATATATAGCACGACAACCTCTGTTAAGTCAATGGGAGTTGACTCGCGTTACACAGAGGAGACTTCTGCCCAGATATTCAGCAGTTGTTTACAGTAGGAAAAAAGAGCCCCTAACTATTGTTGAAAACTATTTCACTGCTTCTTTTTAATATAAAGAGCTTGAAATGAAGAAAGCTCAATATGAAGGAATTTCACTCCATAACTATTGGATTTTTTTATCCATTTTATAACTCATCAAGTTAGCGCTAACTTCCAGAATCTTTATATGGATAAGTAAAAGTGCTTCTTAAACAACTAAAACTGGTTTGAGACGGTTTATAAATACAAAGGATCTGTCTTAATTGGTGAAATAGTTTCCTTCCGTTTTTAGCTAATATTTTGTCAAGAGCAATTGAGCGACGGACCCCAAGCACTGGTACAGACAACCTCTGACTACAGCGGGCCAGCAAAGTGCACAAAGCATGGTGGAGGATAAAGCTGGGTGAGAACAGCTGGTGGTAGCTGATGCAGGTCTCTGGAACAGGAGCAGGGAGGGCAGGGGCAAACGGGGAGCCGGTAGGGAGAGGGGCTAGAGAGGTAAGACGAAGAACAGGAAAGGTTGGGTCAAGCGATTGGGGCTGAAGATGCAGTTTGATGATGAAATTAATGTAATTGTGAGCTGCTGCTATAAGAGAGAGTCCCTCCTCACTATTCCATTCTCCAACTCTGGTTGTGATTTTTAGCATTGGCCTTCATTTTACCCCATGATGACCTGACTCAGAGCAGAACTGGAAGAAAACTAAGCATACAGGTTTAGCTCCCTGAACTGGCTTGCAGTGGAGACCAAGGGAGACAGTAGGAGGGGTGGGACTACCCCTTTCCTTAGCAGCCCACAATTAGGTTGGCAGAACCACATCCCGAGATCAGCAGGGGACTTGGGCAGAAAGCCAAGGAGAAACCAGCACTGGCTAAGCCAGGAGACTGAGGTTGAAATTCAGAGTCTAGAAAGATGAAAAACTGGTGAAAATTTGAGGTTGGAGGGAATTATAGAGGCCTGGGAGAGGGGAGAGAGGATTTGGAAAAAAGGAGTGGGTAGAGGACAGCTGCAGAAATCTCTCTCCTCACTGGAGCATGGTCATGCCCAGCACCTGAAATTAAATTAGAAACTGGCAAATTTCACTGCTCCTTTACCACCGGTAAATACATATAAGCAAATTTTGTGAGGCCGATGATGAGCCAGTGTGCATGTCCAATTCATTTCTGTCATCACAGAAGATGAAAACTTACTACCCTTATTACCCAGTAATCTATGCATGCAGGAGGCAAAAGTCATTTACGTGAGTCTAATCTTGCTGATAAACATCATGGTATCAAACCAACATGGTAGTCTCATGATAGCATTGACATGTCTCTAGGGTGTTAAAAATGTAAAATGAAAAGATAGTTAAGCAAAAAAAAAAAAAAACAATCCAATTTTGGACACCTGTAAATTAGAAAAACCCTAGAATTATAGTTCACACAGGCTGGTTAATAAATGTTGAAATACAAGCAAGAAAGACTCATTATACAACCAAACTTTCCCCCTAAAAGTGATATATACAAACAATACAAGAGGACAAATTTTCATTTAACTTTTTCTGTTCTTTTTTTGTCTGGCATGCTTGACTAGATACCTATCGCATGAAAGTGTTAATTTTTATTCGGTTTTCCTTCTGCGCCTACAATTCCCTATTGATGTAAATTTAGTCCATACGACGCGGGTACTTTGTGCATATCGCTGTGAAATACAATAGGTTATCCCTCTAATTTACTTAAATGCTACTGAGAAATTGTTTTGTGATGGGAACTAGTATTTTGAGTTTTCCCAGTCCAACTTTCTTCTCCCAGTCAAGTCAGTAATTCACTTAGTGATCTTGAACAAATCATTTGATTTAATTGTACCCATATCAAGCCAGCTGGAAAACTGAGCAAAAAGCATCTCTTCATTGAAAACCAAATGCTATGCCTAAACTGTGCCTTCCTGAGTAAGCAAACATGGGCAAGACTATCCCATTTTTCCCTTGGGACTATCCTGAGGGAGTCAAGCATTCCAAATGCATTTCAAAACCCAGAAGATAGATTCAAGTTTGATCTTGACAGATGTTTTCTCTAATACAGCAATTGACGTGCTGTATTTGCAAGAATAAAAGATCTTAAATATTTAGCAGCGTATTATCATAACATTTTTTAAAGACTCACTATTTATATTTCAAACGTGCTAATTTACATGTTCACTTCAAACAATGTAGATCTCAACTGTTATGTTTTTAAAGCATCTGGTGGCTTACTTGGTGAATGCTTGTGATTCATAAAGCCTATTATTAGTCCTCCTGAACAAACATCAGCTAAAAAAATAGAGTAAGCTAGCTTTTATGTACTGTTTAGCAGAAAGTTCACTGTATTACATAAAGCATTGCCATATATTATTCCTTTAACTGTTACAAATTATATTATAACCTGCTTGTTTGAGGCATGTTTTGTTTTGCTTCCTAAACTAGTGTACATTACATACACACATCTTGCTAAAGGCTGCCTCAAACTAAAATCATTAAAATATTAACCAACTGGTATAGAGGAACAGCACTTGACTAATGTAGCCGTCTGAGTTATTTACTAACTCTTGGGAATGTTTCTGCTGCTCCATGAACGTTAGATTTGTTTAAGGCTAAGCACCTTCACCTCTGATTAACCACAAATGAAGACGTTCAGCTCCTTTCAGCGGTGTGTCCTACATGCATCTGTTCTTGACCGACTCATTCAAAGGAGCACCCCTGTGGTAAGCAAAATAGTGGAATGCTCACACGAATTCACAAAGCTCACAAATTAAGATAATGTTAACTTTTTATGTTAAGCAGTCAGTCTGTTTATTTATGTGATTATGCAAGAGGAAGTTTAAGAAAAAGAGAACTTTTGAAAATGGAAAGGCTTTTTTTTCCATTCTGAATGGGTGGGAATTCTAAGATTACTCTATTTTTGGTCTGGTTTCTTACAGCATTTTTTGTAAGAGAGTACACTACTCTTACAGCAAATTATTAAATAATTTTAAACCAAATCATGACCTCTCTGCAACTGATTTCTGTTGGTTTTTAACTATCTATGGTTTTGAAAAAAGCAGTATATACTTTGTAGCTTATAAAATAGTTTTATAAACAGATACTATAGAAATAGTTTAAATTCTCAAAGGTACACAGGATTCATATGCCCGTTTCTTATGATTGTGCAGACTCCTGCAGGTTTAATTCCCAGTATGTGCTACTGGATTTTCCCTAAAGTGCCACAAATAAAGATTCTAAATCATTTTAAAATTGCATTTTCCAACCTTTCTCATGTTAGAACAACAACATATGACAGGTCTAATCATAACACAATCTAAAAACGTTCACTCTGCCTCCCAGTACCAGATGCCATCCTTTGAAAGAAAAATGTACTTAAACCAGGAGTTTTAGCTGATCTCTACATATTTTAAGGGCAACAGTGGGGTCTACCAGATGGTGGCGGAATACAAATTTTTAAACACAAAGTGACTCAGGGAAAGTTTTTTCAGATTCATACTTCAGATAAAAATAACAAAAACCCACACTCAAGTGCTCACAGAGTAAGTAAAACTGCTGTGTCCTCTCCCCATGCTGTTCCCTTGTACCACCTTCGGGGGTACCACCCATACAGGAGAAGTACTCGAAGAGGAGGAGCAGGGTTCAGTCCACTGAAAAAGGGAAAGAAAACTCTTATCGAAGTGTGGTCTGTTATAGTCACAGAGCCTATAAGAAAATAGAATCTTAATCGCCAAAAAAATCTGAGTAGTAAACAATAGACTTAAATGTTCTACGCACTGGTTTTTATTGCAGTTTTCCCCTGCTGCAATTGTAATGGGTACTTTGTTGGTGTAATACCATCAATCTTCATTTTTTATTTATTTGCTAAATTGTTTGCTAACAGAACAAAGAGAAGATCATTCACAATAAAAACCCATTTGTGTAGATGTGTGCAAACATAATTGCATATGATAACGTTCAGTCTGAGATATATTGATTATATCTAGATCTATTTGTTCACAAATTAGGGCCACAGAAATTGATTTTTTTAAATAATTCCATGATACAAATAAAACAAAGTACTTACGGTCATCCTCTGAAGCAAATCTGGCTGTGATTTCTGGTAGAAATCACAGTGCAGTTTCACTGCATGGTGAATGATATATGAAGCTGGTGAACGAACTGCACGTCCTATGTGCTAAAAAGCCTAGTGCTTAGTGTTTAACCACATACTGAGCACAGTTGGTCACTGCATTAAAGCACTATCCTTGCGCTTCATGTCAAGTTGGATTACTGAAATTGGACACACAGAAAACAAACTATTAATATCAATACTAGAGATGAACAACTGCTGCTGTTGCCCTGTGCAATGCAGCAAAAAACCCCTAAGTTTGTAAATTGAGTAAACCACATGTAAAACACTGTAGTCACTCAAGAGGAAATGGTATTGCATAGGTTGCTTTAGAGGACAACAGTCAAAAGAATTCAGGTTGTTAACATAATGTATGCTATGCTGTAGATTTCTTAAATCCATTATCTTTTTCCCAAAACACTGATCAAATAAATACAACACCAGGAAACACTAAATATCTGCCTTAAGACTGGCCAAGAAATACAGTTATGCCTGATTCCCTCCCCTTTGGCAATTTTCAAGTGGTCAAGATGGATCTTAAAGAGAGCAGATTTTTGTTAGTATCCTAAATAAGGATAAGGTGTACTACCCACAGTGAAGTCTAAAAGGCAGCTATAGTACATGTTTGTAAATGGAGCATTCCTTATTTTAAAGCATTCTTAGAATGAGGCTTGGTTTCAAATTTTTATATTAAATTGGGCCTATTCACTTAATGATTGAGAATTAAAACTACCAGGAAGATGTAAACCCAATCCATCTTATCTACATATGCTTATCTACCTATAAATACCCTGAAATAAATTAAACTGGAAGAAAAACATTTGGAAACTTAGTTTTTAAGGTATGTGAACTGTTAACCCTGTATAAGGAACAGTCAGTAATTATTCTTAGACTGTGTTCTCAAACACAGATCTAAAAACTTCTGGTCTTAACGGAAGTCAGTCCAGTTTTGCCATTAATGTCATTTTGGTAATGGAAAGACACAGAACCCCTTTTACAAATCTCAGTGATGCATTTTTGCAAAAGTTTGTATCTTGGTGCAAAAATCATTAATTTCAGTTTCATGCATGACATTTATTTACAAAGCTGTGAGTAATCTTTTATTATTTTTATCATCATCTTTCCATTTTAATCATGTTTTGGGCAGACTTCTTACCCTGCAGTTAAAACATACATGGAAAAATACCACTGAAGAGTTAACGATGACTACAATGGGACAAAGGTTGTATTTCTTTTATTCTTTTATATTTCTAGTTTATGTGTAGAATCTGCATACTTTACTCTATGCAGTGTTGGCAGCAGTGTGTTGGACTACCTTTTCCCTTATCCTGACTGCAGCCTTCTTAGGAGAGGGGAGCTGCCAGAAGCTTTCTGGAGGAACCCTTCTGGCGCAGAGGATGGGGAGGGCAGGCAGAGACAGGGCCAGCAGGGAGCCTGCTGCTCGCAGGAAGGCTGAAACAAACAAAAGGGTTTGCTTGCAGCAGAGAAAAGACTCAGACCGAAACATAGAAATAAGGGTGTTTTCGTAGGAACCGCTTGGGGAGTTGTGTAAAGCACGTACAGATTAGGAGGCAGCTGAAAGTTACCCAACAGGAAGGCAAAACTGAGTAGAAGGATTCACCCAGTAAGGCACAGTGGGAGAGGGGAGTATTTGTTTATTTCAGAATAAATCCTTTTGGCATCTGGCTACGTTAAGTATTCTTTTCACAGCTCATGGCTGTTGCTCAAGTAAGAAAACATAGGCTCTGCTTTTTTATAAGTGTATGTACAATCCTAAAGACATTTCTTACTGTAGTTAAAAATAGTTTTTCTAACTTTCTGTCATAAAACTGTTCCCTGCTCTAAAAAAAGGTTGCTATTCAGCACAAGCAAATAAAAATGCTGTTGTCTGAACCTGCAGCAGCAGAATTGCCTTCAAAAAATCCTTGGGGTATCACTTAGAATTATACAGATATGAATCTGTGATCATAGAGACTCTTGCAATAAAAAGATTGTTATTGAGTTCTACCGAGTACACGTGCTCTCAAGCTGTGGAAGAGTCTCTCTCCATGTTGCTTTGCTTCTTCGTATGAAATAAAAAGCCCTGTAAACTGACAAAAACATTTGTATTTTCATTAGAAATCAGAAAACTATACAAAGTGTTATGGATGGATCTTTAAATTGTATATTGAACAACCAAGAAACTGATAGCTAAATCATCCCTCTAGAGAGCAATACAAAAAACTTAATTGCATCTAACATAGTACACAAGAATACAGGGTTAAGTTAGGCGCTCCCGCTTCAGCTTTATGATTGTAGGCTACATAAATGTTATTCACTTATTGTTGGAAAATAAATTTATTCTAAACAGTCTCACTATTTGCATATCATCTGATTGACCCAAAGATATATGTCAAAGTCTAAAACACTATTTCTTCATTCTCTTATTTATCAGGTCTCCTGGTAGAAGCATTAGTTGCAATCCGATAGCTACAGATGATACAGATAGCTGTAAATGAAGAACAAATCAAAAAAGAATTGTTCACGTGGTTTACTATAAATTAGAATGTATTTGCTAGCTCGATAAAAGACTCAAATAGCATTTCCTTGCTTGCTATTGTAAAAAAAAAAAAAAAATTCATTGTTCATTTAAAATAATAGCTTTTACAGAATGAGTCTATTTTTTTTTTCTTACCGGAAGATTGCAGGAACAAAACACAATTAATGCATTTGATGCCATTCCTGATTAAAATGAAGACTTACAGCCCTGTATATCCTGTCTTACACTGATTTAAAAATGTTTATTCATCAGATAATGTCAAGATCAGGGTCATTTCAGAACAATGGTTTACAGTCTGGAGCAGTGGCTCTTCCATGGAACCCATAAAAACAAGTTATCTCTGTGTCCATCCAGAAAAATCAAGAGTCACAGAAGAGCTACCTGAAATTCAGGGACAGAGTAGGCAGAAACTGGAGGCTTCTTCTCAGTATTTACCAATACGGATCACAATTTACAAATTCTTTCTCTCAAATGCAATGATTTCCATTATTATTTTAATTTATAATTCTCATATTAAAAAATCTGCCAACTTATTTAGTTCTAAACTAAGGGCTACATACCTGTAGCTGATTAATGCCTCAATTAATTAGTCTTGCATGTATATGACTGGAGACAAAGGACTCAAGGGGTGCATTGGATTTATGCTCTTCTGCTGCACAGAGGATGATTTCATCACGTATGTCCGCTCTCTGGCTTATTAGCATAATAAAGGCTAAAAACCTTGCGCTACTGCAATCCATGGCAAGTCTTCCTTTGGCTTCAGACTTTGTCAAACATCTCTATCATCTCTTTCTCACTGAAAAAAGATAAGCAGAATATCTGTAGTCCACATCTACTTAATCTTAGATTGCTCTGAAATCAGTAATATAAACACTGTAGACATGGTGTAAACTGTATCATAACTAAATAATCAATTACTGGGGAAGGCCAAGTTTCAGAACTGATACCTGCAATGCAGCTAACTTTTCTTTTTCAAACAATCACTTTAGACGAGTTCAATTTCTTAATCCAGTAAATCTCTTTAACATTTTTTAAAGGAATAGAATACATGAAATCCTGAAAATCAGGGTCAGAGCCTGTTCAATAGCAAAGGCAGTTAAATGCCTTTTGTGCAGTAGATCAACATTCACAAAAACAGTAACTTTCATCTCCTTAGAGAAAGAAAGTTAGAGTTTTGTTATGAGCTATCTGGGAGCACCCCAGACCTGGCACTGTGTGCTTTTTCTGATCTATATTTAAATTTGAAAGTGCATCAGTCCATACATTAAATTGAGCAAATTCTTACAGCGTTTACATTCTGTACTGCCTGTTTTCCCCACTGCTGTTAGCTGACCAGATGGAAAGGAGCTGTTTTAGGTGAGGAAACTGTTGGCAGCAAGGAGCTTGGTAAGAGATCAGCAGGTTTCAATCTGTTGGCAAGAAATCAAAGTTTCCTTCCTTTCTTTGTTTAAAACACTTGATCCACTATTCTCTGTACAAGGCACACGGAAAATTCTGAACAGACTATCCATTTCTTTATTCCTTCCCCTGCCTGGAACTGGTGAAAAAGGAGTCTGAAGGAAGACTGAATTTATGAGAGTACATATTCAATTTTAGTTCTCACGGTCAGCAGGCCCTGGATCAGCTTGAGTTCATGAGCTAGTGGCCTTTCACCTAGCATCTTTCTGTCACCACATTTCCAATCACATGAAAAAATATAATGTTTTGATTCAGTACTGATACAAAAAGATGGGAAGAGAAAAAAAAAAGTTCGCCACAGAACCAAAGAAATGAGAAAAATCAACTGGGGAAATTCAGGAAAAACAGTAATTGAATAGTTGTCTATTGCTTAAATTTAACAGAGAACTCCTCTCATTAAGGGAAGTGCTCTACTGAGAGGAAAGCAAGATGAACTATTGATTCTCAGGCTGTATTAGACAATTTAGGGATTACTTTGAGAAGCATAAAAAGTGTCTTGTCTTTGCCATTTCCTACAGATCAGGTTTTCTAATTTCTTGCTCTAAATAGGATAAGCAGCAGTAGTAGTGCAGATGCAGCTGTAGTTGTGCAGCTGTAGAAACTAATTCAGAACTGTCTACATTTACATTTTATTATTTTTCTAAACATTAAGACTTCTTAAGAATACAAACTAAGAATACAACATTCTTAAAAGCAGTGACGAGAATATTGTTGCTTATACTGTTTATTAAACAGATCTGAGTATCTACTTCTATCAAAACACAATGTAAATATAACACCTATGTAAATCTTTAGGCACCCTTTTCACAGCCTCTCAGGAATGCTAGAACTTTAACTTTTTTATGCAAGTGTGGCCTGACAGCTCCATTAGTTCGACGCTAGGTCTCAGATTTCAGATCACCATTTCTCACTTTCAGTATGTTAGTGTGGAAAAGCAGAAGTTTACATACTTGTATTTGGTGCTGGCAGCACAGCCGACCTGCCTTAATCAAATATCCAGATTTAAGTCCTTGCCTTCACTTTGGGCAGCAGGGTACTTAAACTAGTCTGCTCGAAGCTTAGTTAATATCAGGATGAATATTTTTTTCCATGAGGATGCTGATTTAAATAGTCTGCACCACTGATATAATTTATTTGCAGACCTGTGCAGTGAAGTGTACTAAGGCACTGATTTGAGTTAAAACCAGACCCTCTTTTCTCTTGCTTAAAAAAATATTCCTTAAACTATGCCATAAATTTCAATATACCCTGTTTTTGTATTTTCCACCTTGCTGGCCACCAGTCCCAAAAGTTAACTGTGATCTCTCATCACGTTTTCAAGGCCGCTGTTTTTACCAACTCCGCTGTGGTTCTGTGGTCAAAAGTGGTCTCTTATCTGTCCCTAGAAATGCATTAATACATAATTCCTAAGGGGAACAGTATACAAGTCAATCTGGAGGGATGGAGGAAACATATTTTGAAAAGAACAAAAATTTCCTGTATTCATCAGAAAAAATTTCTTCCCCTAATGACTGTTTTCAATCCAGCTTCATATAGGATTATTGCATAATTAGGATAGAATAAAACAGACTTACAAACAAAGCACCGTATTTGAATTTACCGTTCTGTCAAATGTCTTTATGAGCTCAGCAGAGAGTTTCCTCCTGTTGTTCATAATATCCTGTTGATACTAGGTTTTGTGAAGAGAAGCAAAATTCTTTTTGACCTGATTGTAATTCACGCATCTCCAGTTTATTACAAAAGAACAGGTTAAATCTATGATTGGTGCTGGTGGTGCTTCATGATAATCATGATGTTACCACTATTACTGATAATGACAAAATCATCCAAA